TTTGATGTTCTTATATATTATCATCACTTAATTTCACCTAGCTCATAGTCACATAGTTCACTTACCCATAGATCATTTTCATACCTAAATTACATAACACCCAAGTCTTCCCCATAAAGTTATACTACATATTCATATAATCTCACATTATCCTATAAGTAAATACTTATCTTATCCCACTTTCCTCTTTACTCACATAATTATTTATACCAAGTCATATGATTTATTACTCTATCCCGAATTTATACAAATCATGTAATCTATACCACAACATATAATTTATATCACTTATCTAATATTATTTATATACTAAGTTAATCTATTTATTTAGTTCAATTCCACATGACTCCTATATCATAGTTTCCTTGAAGTATACTTCTTCCTTATAAATACTTATCTTATAATTGGGTATCATCATTTATTTTTATGCATCCTAATTTGCATGCTATTCTCATAAAGTCTTATAACCTTTCTTGTAGAATCCCTTATATAATATAACTTATACTTTATTATCTTATGTTCACATATATTTATATCGAATAATTCTTTAGCTTATAGCCTATGTCACTTGTTCATTTCATTCCTTGTGTCTTTATCACATAGCTTATTTCATATTCTTATATAGATCATTTGTACTATTTCACATGACTTAATATACTAACATATACTTATACAAATCATGTAACATACATAGTATCATGTCAACACATATCCTCATGCACACATATAAATCATAACAAACGCATACGTCTATATATGAATACATGCATTTTACTATTGGAAATAGACTTATCGCAAGTCTTATTTTCAGTTAAACACCATATACTAAATAATGTGCACTCACCTGGCCTCACTGGTCAATACTGATTTCTTATCTTTCCTTGATCGATCTTACTTGCCCAATGTTCCGGAACTTGTTTAGGCTTAGCATATACATAAATATAATTTCCAAGACAATTATCAGATGCCTAAATATCATAATTCGATACTAATAGCTTAAGCTTAATTAATGAACCAAAATTTACTTTTTTTCCTTTAGGGGGTATCGGTACCCTTATTAGGGTATTGGTACCCTCATTACATTCTGTGATTTTTCGTTTGAGAGGGTATTGATACCTGTTGAATGGGTACCGATACCTCTAGCCCATAAATCACATTTTCATTCCGAAAATTACTTCATTTCAGCTCAATTGCTTCATATACCATCCCCTTTCTTATTCTCAACTTACATATACATGCTTAAACTCATTACTACTCATTCAATACATCTTTAACTTCAAAATCCAATCATCTACATAGAATTCAAGAATCATACTCAAATTTTAACATGTTCTAAATCCCATTCTATCACTTTGAATTTCTTATTTCTATTCATGACAAGTCAAATTTAACCTCAAAACTCAATTACTAGCTTCTTCCCATAATTCCACTTAACCGCTCCATATTTTAAATCTTCCATAGTTTCCTTATCTTTTGTTTTCTATCTCCTTTTAAGATCCCATAATCTTTTCTAATACTCCACCCATTAAAATGTTCTTTTAATTGTAAGAAAATCAATTGAAATTCAAACTCACCTTATACTAAGACCCATGGTGGAGAGGAAGAAGAAAACTGAAGAAGTCTATGGATTACTCTTTCTCTCATTTCCCACGTGATTTATAGTCTAAACAAAGAAGATAAAAATCTTTTTGGTCAAATGACCATTTTACCTTTTATTTCCTTTAATAATTACCAACAATCATCCATTATATATTCCAATTTAGTCCCTAAACTTTTAAATCTTTCAAAAAAATCAGGCCTCAAAGTTTTAAAATTTCCATTTTAATCACTAGCCTCGATTTTGAGATATTACATTTTTGGTTCAATGATATGTCACATATCACTACAGAGAAACTTCCTGTTATTTGTCTTACAAGTAGTTTTTAAGTTAAATGGATAGTTTTGCATGAAACAAAGTATATTGCATTAATACATTATTTAGGAGATAATATATAGTCCAAAAGGGTAATTTATTAGTATTTATTACTTGAAATTGATAATAATCACATTCTCATAATGTTAAAGAAAAAAATATACTAATGGTAATGGCGGATCTACAGCAAGCTCAAGGTGAACATGTGTACATCTTGAAATACCAGACAATCAAGAAACAGTTAAAAAAATGACAGAAATGTAATGCAATCCATGGAAGATCAACAAGAATCTGAAAGGATCAGTTGAGATTATATACACCCAGAATTTATTTTCCACCTAATGAATCATAACACCAAAAGAAGAATAAGTTAAATTCCCCAGAACCATCAACACCAGCTGCCATAGACAACTCGTGTGTACTTATCTTTAAGCCACCTGAAGCTCATTTTCAAGGACCCTTTGACCTTACCTTCAGCACCATACATCTTGTAGCTAGCAACCCTTTTCTTCCTCTTGAATTCAGGGTCACCAAAGCTCCATGACCTTGAAGAAGAACCAGAAATGGCTGTCTTTTTCCCTTTCTTGAACTTGAAGTCCATGTTGCTCTTCGCCATGTGAGGCTGTGAATATGAAAAAGAAGCACTGTATCACTAACACCTAAATTCATAATTGGAGGATGAAGGCTTTTGCAGTGGTTCATGGTAGGTATCCGTCTGCATCATCCCATCACCATAGGATCTTGATCTGTTGTAATCCGCCATTGGATTTTGGTTGTTGAGGTTCCTTTTGATTTTTACATGCAAGGGAAGCAAAAGCTATGGGTGTATATATATGGTAAATAAATAAATAAATAAATATCACTTTGTTAGTCACTTTACTATTAGTATTATTCTATTTTGAACACTGAACTAAAATCTTTTTGATTTAGTCACAAAAGTTACAAATTTACTAATTTTAGTTACCCGTCATTAAATAGCTAATAAGATGATGCAATAGTTTTTAAATTGATATAATAATACATTTAGTATCAAAGGTATAGTGTCTAATTTAGGTATAGTAATTTAACGAATAACAAAGGTGATTGAGAAATAAAACCCAAACAAAAAATATAACAAAGAATGTCAAATTTTCCATTGTTTGAGTCGTGAGAATATGAACATTTTTTCTTTTTAGCTTATCGTTATATGTTGGAGGATTAAATTTATAGAATTTAAAATTTTAAAAATATTAAATTATTTAATATTAGAATCAAGTTTATAAATTGTATAAATATTAATGACTAAATGGGTCACTATATTAGTTTAAAAACAACATCATCAACGTTGTTAGCTATTCAATTAAATGACCAAAATTTATGACGGGTAACTAGACCAAAAAAAAAAACTTTTGATCTATTGACCAAAATAGATAGAGCTGATAGTTGAGTGACCATTGGATAATTTACCCTTGCTTTTCTTTTGTTTTTGGCTAAGGTAAGTCACAGGTTACTAAACTAGGTTCGAACTGTCGTTTTATTACTAAATTTTCAATAATTATAAAAATGATCATTGAATTTATTAAAATATTATAATAATCACTTTATAATAATTAATAAATTTACTAACTATTCTATAAATTTTAATAATTATTTAATTATAATTTCATGACCTCAAATATTTTTTTCACTTTGTGTTCCAACTTTGGGAGACATGGAAATGGATTCCAGATGGCATGTTTAGTGGGTGAATGTTGTCTACAGCAAACTATTATGTTCCCAATGATACTATACATTGTGCTTTGACCAGTCATGCTTCGTTTTAAATGAAGAATTGATTTTCAATAAATTTCATAATTTTGATCATTTTTATATAATCTATTAAAAATCTAAAAAATTTAAGCGTAAGAATTAATTTGCTTAATATTTAGATTTATAAATTATTATTATATTAAATATGTTTAGATGATAAATAATTTTGTTGATCGGTGAAATAGACAATAACCATAAATGGTGGTTTGGATGGTGGTTCTGATTTTTAGAGAAGAGATTTGTTTGTATTTTTTTCTTTATTGTATAGTAATTTATAGTGTCACGGGCATGTGTAGATTAAAAATTATCGTGATATAACTATTGATTGAACGTCTTAAGAAGTGATGGTTTAGATTAATTTATCATCGAAAAAGATCATGTGTATCAACACGTGATCAATAATGATCATATACGGGTGGTTTTTGTGAGATAGCAGGTGATCAACTCGTAGGATATGCTTCGCATGTCTAAGGGTTTGCATGAATCTTTCATTTGGATACTTAAAATTCACAGGGACTAGAAGTTTATAAGTAGTAAGCTCGCATGTAGTAACAAATTTATGTTTAAATCTATTTATACATATTCTCTTTAAAGACTAACTTTTAATTTAATTTACTTAAAATTTATAAAATAAATAAAATTATTTAATGATTTATAAAAAAAGTTATTAATCAGAAATGATTAAAAATAATATGTTTAATTTTTTTAATTAATTAACCATAGACACCTACAAACTCGAATCTTAAAAAAATAATATTTTTTTATTACTTATATCTTGAAACCGAAACTGAAAATTTTGTGAGTACAAATGAGACTGGAAGTGAAAGTATCGTGAGCACGTTCACTTGCTGCACTTTCATTCGAGTTACCATTTTTGTGTTTGCATGTTGACAATCAGCAACAAACATCAACTGTTCATCAGTCCCATCCCTAAATCTCTTTTAACAAATCTAAAACAAATTCGGATTTATGATTTGATTGAAGTTATTTGTGTTTATGTAAATACGTGTGTGTTCTATATGTGTTGTGTGTTTCTTTAAATAAAATTTGTATAACTTTTTATATCTTATTTATATCATGTGAGATCTTTTTAGATTTGACTAAGATTTAAGAAAATGTATACATTTCTTGAATTAAATTGACTGAAAACTTGTCCTAATCCAACCGGTTTCATCCTACTAATTTCTTACACAGTTACATTTCTTCTCTGGCTCTCTGTTAGCTGCAAAATGCTAATGCCAGCAATGGCAAAAACGCCAGGGATATGATGGAGGAGAAAACACTAGAAACGCCATTGAAATGAAATCGAAGTGCCATATTCTTCGAGCAGAAAGTTCAAAAAGATAATAATCAAGCAATGCTAATAATATAGATCTACGCTTGATTTACTTCATCTTCCACTGCCTCTGTTCACCATCTCCTTGTATCTAACAACGGAGTCCATCCTTTGCAGCTTCAACTGCTGTTTGAATTTGTTGATGAAATCATCCGCCTTCGCATCCACTTCATCGTCCTCATCTGTAGCTTTACCCTTCCCTTCCCTCACGGTCGCCGGCCGTTGAGTTTTCACGATGTCTTCTTCCTCGAAATGCGAGAACGGCGACTTAACGCTCGCCGATTTCCTCATCTTCTTCGGAAGTTTTACCGGTACTGCGCCCGATGCCGGTTCGACGTCCGATTTGGTCCTCGAGACTTCGCTTTTGTTGCCCTTCACTTGTGTTTCTTCACGGGCTACCTCCGGCAGCGACGGCGGATGATCTGGGGTGGTTTCTTGAACCGCTTGGGGTTCTTTTATTTCTTCATCTTGTTCATCGGGAGTGTAATGGGAGCTGATTTCTGGGGTTTTCTGCTCTGGGGAGAAGTAGCCATAGAGATTGATTGACTCCAGTCTCTGTAGAACCGAAGGAGATCCATCGAGGTAACGCGGCAGCGGCGGCGACGACGGCTGGTGCTGCCATTCTGGGGTGGCTTGTTGTTGAAAAGAGAAACGAAAATCGCCACCGACAGCTGGGATTTTGGAAGTGAAACTCACGGGCTCTTCGGATCTATGAGAAAACAAGTTGATGGATTTGAGCCTTTGTAGAACAGATGGGGATCTAACGAGTTTTGGGTCGTTTCTTTCATCTCCTTCGCCGACACCGGCGGCGGAGGGCTTGTTGGAAGCTAAGGAGGAAGTGAAGAAGATGGTGCCGATGGTGAGGTTAACGAAGACAAAGAAGACAGTAGGAGTAAACCAGCTGAAAATGGAAGCCAATAGGGAAGAAGAAGAAGAAGGTACAGTCGACGACATTGATTCTTCCAACATTATTTGCTTTCTTGTTTGTTGCTGAGCTCTCTTTTTTTAATTTAAAAGAAGGGAAAACGGAAATTATATGAGGATGATTACCTAAATAACCGCAGGAGGAAAGGTTGGAACAACTATGAAAATAAAGATAAACTATGCTAATAACCATTTAATCTACGTAAGCTTTCATTTTAATCACTTAAATCAATCCTTTCTAATTAAATTTAATGTGTTAAAATCATTAGACTGTTAAACTATCAATGCAATCATCAATCTTCTTTTTTAAGATTGGAGATATAAGAATTTATTGAGTGATTTTAGAAATAAATAGATATGTTATTTTTTTTAAAGAATTCTAATTTAATTGTGGGTGAGGTGTGTGTGTTAATCTATTTTTTTTAAATATATGTTATTTTATAATCATCGAGACTTTAAAAAGATAAAGCAACATAATTATTAATAGTTGGCACGATTTATATCTTTATATCATTAAAAAATAATATAATTAATAAAAGCATCAAAATAATTGATAAAATTAAAGTTTTAATACTAATTTAAAAGTAAAATTTTCCAAATACCAATTTAAAAGAAAATGTATAATTCACTTGCTATATGTATAAACCATTGTATTAAGTTAAATTAATAAAATAAATGTATAATGATAAAATTATTACTTTATCGTTTATATAAATGGTTATTTTATCCTTATCTTTTTTTTTTGAAGTATTTTAACTTCCAATGCCTCAATTTTTAATCAAAACTACTTATATTTGATTAAATTTGTTAGTTAATTGACAGTCAATACATGTTGTTGATGTAACATTTTCACACGTGTTCATTTGTTTACATGGAACATTCAACACATCACTTTGGTGACATAACACGTACCACATCATCACTTTAGACAACGTGACTTTGTCACGTCACTAATTGAACACATATAAAAATATCACGTCAACAACATGATCTATTTTGATTAAAAATTGAAACATTAAAACTAAAATACTTCATAAAAGAAACAAAGTGAATATTCATGCAAATGTTAAATAATAATTTTGCCATTATACTTTAAGTAAATAGCCATAACATAAAATATTAACAACCAATTACTTCGTATTCACTGTAAATTTAATTTCTAATCATAATTATGATGTGTGATACGACGATTAGGTCGTTGCAACATGTTAAAAAAATATTAAAATTGATTTATCATTGTTTAAAATATTAAGATAATTTTTTAGTATCACAATTGTTTTTTCTTGACCCATTTAATAGAGTTTTTTTATTTCAGTTTTTTTTCACCTGATTTTAATACGTTTTAACATTAAATAATGTTCTATCCGTTTTGTGATTATCTCGAAATTTAGGATGAAATTTCACTCCGATTTTACACGAATAATTTATTTCATTTAACCAGATAAAAAGATAATTGAAAATGTGTATATAGATAGACTTTATAATAATCATCTTTTAATATATATAAAGGAAATTATAATAATAATCTCATATCCTATTAAGTCGAGTTAATTCCTTAAACTTAATTTGTCTCGACTTTAATTTTCTCTTTCATAAAAATTATCTTAAACTTAAATTCAAAAAGTTAAATTATAAAATTAAATTAAACTAAAATTTATTGGATTCAAATAATTTGGAAAAAGTGGTTGAATAATGCAATGTAAAAAAATTCTTCATATAGTGCGTCGAACAATTATTTACTTAAGTAAGGTGATTGCTACAGTGACCACTATAGGTCTCCAGGAGCACACAACGACCTCTATAGGTCTCCAAGAGCACACAACGACCTATGGAGCTGCAACAGCGAGGGAAGAGAGAAGAGTTGTTACAACAGAGGAGGTTTTGTCGCAAGGAACAGTTGGCGACCTATGAAGCATTTGACGACCAATGAGGTCATTGTTGTAACCCCCAGACCCGGTCTGTAATTTAGACCCAAACCTAAGTGGTCACATATCCCATTCAAAGATATATTTTTTTTATTTCTTTAAGATATCTTACCATACATTAGATATAATACATAACAAAATGTATTAATGCAGATATATCCAAAACAATAGCAAATACATGTCACCAAACATAACTGAAAAACATATAGAGATATAAGTTCGTACAAAATAAGTAGTTGATCTCCCCTGATGCCAAATCTGCTAGCTTACGGTCTGTTGTTATCTGAAAAAGGTAAAAACTATAGAATGAGCTAAAAAGCTCAGTGTGCCCCATACAGTGTATAACACATACATAACAAAATAATTCAGATAAGATAAAACAATTTATCAAATATATTTAATAATATGCACACTACCCCCATCCAATCACCAAAATGTGTAGGTTCACCTGAACCGTACACCACCTATACACCAGTAAGGCTTAACATGTGCACAAAGCAGAGGAGCCTAGGAAAACTGTAAGGTTTATCCTTGCACACAGCAAAGGGACCTGGGAAACTGTAAGGCTTACCCTTGCACACAACAAAGGGACCTGGTAAACTGTAAGGCTTACCTTCGCACACAGCAAAGGGACCTGGGAAACTGTAAGGCTTACCTTCGCACACAGCAAAAGGAACCTGATAATACTTCCTTCAATCGTACCCCCAATGAAAAAATAAACATGTATGCATTTGAGTAAAAACGGTAATTAATCCATTAAATATGAAAATGTTCCATATTTAGAAATCATGTACAAAAATACTATAACTATAAACCATATAAAAATTATACGGTAAATCAGACATTTAATAAACATTATTCAAAATACCGGATATTTTCTCATAAAATATATTATATTATCATAATATAAACCAATTCAGATATATAGTTTAAAACTGTAAGATAACACTGTCAGGAAACACACCTGTAACAGTCCGAGAAATCAGATAGGGAAGCTTATTATTGGTTTTGTCGATCACGCTCTGCTGCAGCACTAGATCCTACGAATTGGAAAAATCCATATTGGAAACCTAATATAAATAATCTAAATATTATTTAAATAATATACGAAAACCTACGGGTAATTCTCATAGTACGCGGTTCAGGCAGATCTAACGAACGGACAACACCGGACCTAAATGATCATTGCTCAGGTGAAACACGAGTACCTTCATAAAATATTTTTATTGAATCAATTCCTTAACCAAATCTCAAATAAATAATCAAAATATTGAAATATTAAGCCTTTTGGGTTTACAAGCTCGATTCAGGAATTTCGGGTCAGAATTTGACAAAACGGACTTTAGAATCAGATTCAGGACGTCGAAAAACATAAAGTATGACTTTCCAAAATTCTGAATTCTTGGACAAAATCAAAGTCAACGGGTTTGATTGACGATTCGGAGACTTTCGGGTTTGAATTATGTGAAACCGACCCCAAAAACGGATTCGGAACGACGAAAAATGTCAGGATAGGAATTCTCGAAAAAGATTAACGGTTGTTTAATGGCCGGTCAAAGCCGGTCAAAATTATGGTCAAATGAGGTCAACAAGCTGTCAACTATTTTACAGAAATAGCACCTTTTTTAAAATAATTGCCAAAATAGCACCTTTTCGAATGAAATTCCCAAAATATCACATTTTTCGAATTAAATTCCCAAAATAGCACTTTTTGAATTAAATTCCCAAAATATCACCTTTTCGAATTAATTACCAAAATAACACCCATTTCAAATTAATTCCCAAAATGTCACTCGGTCAACGGTCAGGTCGGGTCAAAGGGTCGGGTCAAACCGGTCAACCCTTGAATATAACCGGTCAAACCGGTCATTTTGGGATTCCCCACGCGCAGTGGGGGCGCGTGGGATCGTTTCTGGCAGCGTAAAATTCACGAAATTTTTTTTTAAAAATTATTTTGAGCGATTTCGAGATACTTACAAAGATCGGTTCAAATTTTTGAACGGTGGAGAGCTAGATTTCATCAAATCGGAAACTTTGACCGCTTCACCTCCCCACGCGTCGCCGTCGATGGAGATCGAGGATGACACCGAAGGACTCGGAACGGCACAAGGAACACGATGATGCGGGAGGTGTCGTAAACGGAGCAACGATCGGCGATGAATTTAAGATTTTCTCGGCGATTGAGCTAAAACGAACGTCGAGACTTTGACTGGAGATTCATGGCGTTTGGCATCGTTTCACCTTAATTAATTTAAGGAAATTGTTCCTCACTCGATAACGAACACGATGGTGGTTTTAAAACGACGATCGGAATTTGGACGGCGTCGGAATCTTAGTCGGAAGTTGAGGTTGAGGAAGGGAGCTTTGGGAAGTGGTGTACTGTTTTCAAAACAGAAAACCACATATATATATATATATATATATATATATATATATATATATATATATATAAACCAATATGACCAACTTTTTTTGGGTAAATTCAGGGCTTGGTCCCTGAATTTTCTTTAACTCTAAAATAAGCTACAAGTTTTAAAATCTTCTAATTTAGTCCCCAAAATTTACCAATTTTCACAATTAAAACCTCAAATTTCAATTAAATATTATTTTGAAATTTTCGGGTTGTTATAATTCTCCCCCTCTACAAGAAATTTCGTCCTCGAAATTTACCTTATGAAAACAGACGAGGAAATTGAACCTCCATTGACTCCAATATCTCCCAAGTAGATTCTGAGAGGCTACGATTACTCCACTGAACTTTTACCATTGAAATACGCCTATTCCGAAGAACTCGCTCATCTCTCTCTAAAACCTGAACATGCTCCTCCTCATATGACAAATCAGGTCTCAGCTCTACCTCATCAACTTGAATGATGTGATCTGGATCTGGACGGTATCGCCTCAACATAGACACATGAAAAATATCATGAATACGACTGAGCTGGGGAGGCAACTCAAGTTGATAAGCAACAGGTCCGACTTTCTTCAGAATACGATACGACCCAATAAATCGCGGACTCAGTTTACCCTTACTTCCAAATCTCAATACCTTCTTCCATGGAGATACTTTAAGAAAAACCTGATCTTCAACCTCAAACTCGATAT